TTAAGGTAATTTTACCCAGCCACGTGGTCCAATAAGAGCACAACACGTGTCCCCTCGGAATGCTCTAAAAGGGCAACCAGTCACGTGGCCTGCAGAGCCTAAAGGGAATTGGCGACCTTCTCAGGCCAATTTCTCGAGGCGCCGTAAAACTGCGCAGGCCATCAAACGTAGGTCATTCAGACCTACGTAAGGGCACAAATCCCAATGCCCTATGAATAGAGACATTTATCCCATTTTGGGGACACATTAATTAATTACATCATTTATTATTCTCTTACAACAAAGAAATCACCTGATCTCAGGACCCGAGAAGATTTACTTACTGTAACACCCCCAAATCTCCTCTAAAGAAATACTAGTATAATACGTATAATTATACCGTAGAGATAGACTTAGGCGTATTACCGCCGCGTGATTACGCAAGGCTACTTAAACTACTAACCAATTCCAATACTTTGCAGCGGAATTTCAAACTCTTTCTTTATTAACAATAAATATAAATAGAATCCATCGTAATGAGTATTCATAATTAAACCAAGACCAACAATCCTAATCTAGGTGAAGAACATTCCCGGGACTCCCATATTCTCAATTCTTGACTCCACCTGAAAATAGTCAACACTGCTTACCATTAAGGTAAACAGGGCGAACCAAAACAAATAGGAAATACGGATTAGAAAAATATGCTAAGTACGATAAGTGCAAGATAAGTAAATTCAATTTATTTGCAAACATGCTTTTAAAACCAATGCCAATAATTAATCCAATGCACTCCAAAACTCATGATTTCAAATCAATTCTCAATAATTCAATAATTCAATAATTTGATGAAACAATTTATAAAACCAATTCCTGAAAACCAATTCTCAAATATCCTCTAAATAATTCCAATAACTCAATAATAATGATTAATAAAATCAATTATTTTTGAAAACTCAACCTCCTCTCTAAGTGTGCACACCCCCAAAGCTAGTCTCCTACTATTTCAAGACTAATCTTAGAGGAAGACTAGGTCATACAAAGTCCATAGTCTTCAATGAATCCACATAGTGGGATTAATATAATAATCATGCTTGTAAAGCTTTTATAAATAATTCAATAATTCTCATGAAACTCCTCTTTGAATAAAATCAACCTTTATAATAGAATAACTTAAAATTCCTTTTGTAATTAACTCAATAAGCTTTTAAAATCAAACCCTTTTAAAAACTCTTTAAAACAATCCAACATACTTTTTAAAACCAAGTTCCTTTAAACATAATAAATAATTTCAAACCATTCAAAACATGATATTAAAATCAAACCTTCAACAATACAGTTATTAAAACAAATATTAAAATCAATTCCTCCAACCATGCTTTATTTTATAAATCATAGTTCAAATCAATTTAATTCAATTACCAATAAAATTATATAAATCATGCTATTCAAACCAATCACTTTCGAAGGTATCTAACCACCTAAATGTACCTTGATTCTGAATCTCAATCAACACTTCACACTTTCAAAGTTCAATCACAAATACACCATGCAATTAACATAACCATAAGGTTATCACAACATCTTTAGACATAACCCAAATCTAATGTGCATGGATTATAAAACTCTTTTTAAAAATAATACTTTAATATATAATTATAGCTTTGAAATAGGTATTTATATTTCATAAAACTAACCATGAAGTAAATAAAGGAAAAAGATTAAAGAGAATTGGATTTGCGTTGGAAAGAATAGGCAAAACTTGTAGAGGTCATAATGGCTTCAATATAACTCCGAATTGGGTGAGTCTTGAGCCTAACTTCAAGGAATTTTTAAGAGGAACAATGTTTTGTGAAATAGGAAAACCCCAAAACTGACCAGAAGTTCCAGAAAATTGGCTCCAAAGATATACGGGTTGATTTTCTCTAGAAAAGAGGAGAAGAAAAGTAGGAAAAGGTTGAGGAAAAGAAGAGTAAGAGAAAGAAGAGAATTGAGTTTTTGGTGTGAAGAATATGAGAGGTATGAGGGGGTATTTATAGGCTAGCTCATGCTAGAATTATGGTAGGAGAATGTAGGAAGAATTATGGTAAATTGGTTTAAGAAAATTACTTGGAGAAGAGAGCTAAAGAATTATGGAAAGTCTTGGTTATGTCGATATAGTAATGAAGAAATAAGGTAAGTATGTAGTCATGAAATATTAAATGTTAAATGGCTTTGCATGGGGAATAATAAAGAGTGATTTAAGGTAGGGAAATAAGATGATTAAATATTTAGGAGATGGAAAATAAGAATTAAGGAAAATAATAGAATTAAGAAAGATAATTAAAATACAAAAATTACCAAAATAATTTTGCTCAAAATACAATATGGTGGCCGAAAATTTAAGCTTTCTTAAGCTCATATTTTCAGACCTCCCTTTAAATATTTAGGCAATTATTTTGCTAGTTTTTCAGGAATAAAAATGATTGTGTAAATAATATATTTTTTTATAAAATAATTAATTAGAAAAATACCAATTATTCACTAATTAATTTAACTAAGAAAATCAGATTTTCTACACTTAGAAAATTCGAAAATCCTAGCTATTTAATTAGGGAAATCCGGCTCTTTTAAATTAAATATAATTTTACTTAAATATCCGAAATATATATAAATAATTCGGTTTTTAAAATAAAATAAATGGATAACTCAAAATCCAAAAATAATTAAGTTTTAAAATACTTTTGGCGCCAAAATTCATATCATTTTGGGTCCAAAATTCAAATAGTAAAATAAAATACTAAAATAATCTTTTTAGAAAATAATATTTAATAAGAAAATACGTTTCAAAAATACGGGGTATTACAGTCTACCCCCTTTAAAAGAAGTTTCGTCCCGAAACTTAGTCAAAATAAAAAGAAATCGATTTGAAATTCTTAGACTCATGCACATCCTAACTAGGCTCAAGATCATAACTAACTCAAGAAAGACTCAAAACTCAAAAATGACTCGAAAGGCAAACGCGCGAAACTCTATCGCCCTCTACTCCCCTTAAAAGGAGTTACGTCCCCGTAACTCGACCAGCACATTAACTCATTAAATCAACTATATTAACACTTTATCAACAATCAACAATGAACGTAAGGAAAATCGGCACGTTTCAAACAGCCAAAAGAGCTTAGGTTTTAAAATGATTTGTTTACAAAAGTAGTGAGAAAACTCGTAAAATATTTTTATGAGTCATTTGAAAAAGATACTTTCATTATGAGAAATCGTTGAAAACACTATAAGGTATGAACTAAAATCAAAATATTTAATAAAATATTTTAAAAGATCAATGAAAGTTTTCAATCTAAACCATTATTTAAAAATAAGGAATACAAAACTTTATTTTGTAAATATAATTGAAAATTCATTTTGCATACTTGTAAAATACTTGTTTAAATAAAAGTCTTACTTTTTTCTTAAAGAAACTCTATAATTACAATAATCACATATTCAACTTCATAGCAAACACTGTCATAGGTACCAAGCATAAAAGGAACATATCTCATCTTGACCTTCTTATCGCTCATAGATTAGTAACTTTGTCTCAAGGTATCTTCCAAAAGTATTTACAATTTTCCCAACAAATTCATAAATCCTGGTAATACAACCTTAAATCGTAATCATTAACTCTTGGTCACTTCATAGTACTTCGCCTTTAAAACATTCAAAAACTCGATCATCTTTTCTCATAACTTCAAATTCCTCAATCTGGTTGTTATAATCCATAACTTATCTATAAGGAAATTTTCTAAATAACTCAAAATGCAATCGTTGATTTTTTCATTATTAATAACTTCTCTATATCAATTAACTTTGTCGTCAATCCCTTAGAGTAAAATCCTTTAAGTAACCATCCAAAAAATCATTCCTTAACTAACTTCAATAAATCCCTTCACAAGGTATTATTTCTTCAAAATAACTTCAATTTAAAACAAATTCCTTTATGTCAAATACTATTTCTTATACTTCCTTTCACTTCAATTGACTCAAAATCCTCTAACTTTTGTATTAAGTTTCTTCAAAGATTCAATTATCAACAATTTTGCTTTAAATAATCATCACAAACTCATTCTCGCAATATGAATACTTTCCACCTTTAGATACAAATGATCATAAATTAATGCTAATATCAAAATTCATATCTCTTAAAAATACTACCTTACTTCAACATTTATGTAGAACCTTTAACTCATCATTACCACAAATAATATTTCCATGCTCAACATAAATCATATTCCAAAAATTAGTAAAGATTTGATAACACAAATCCTCCAAATATTCACGTTTATGACCATTAGCAATCCAAAATAACTCCTCATTTCACATAGTAATCATCAAATCCTGTAAACTCAAAATAACAAACTCAACCATCTAGACAACTTCGTATGATTCAAATACTTGCCACATATCACATAGTTAATTATACCATATAAGGTCAAAGAAATTAGTCAATAGATTATATCAAACTTATATAAAATTCACACTTAAATGGATAAACCCATACAACAACTTATTGAAATTCACAACAAACACAAACATTCCAAAAGATGATTTTAATATGTAAAAGAAGTATTTCACATAAACCCATCTATTTCCATATAAGGAAATTATATATATACCAATTACAGCATTAGGAACACTCATTAAATAATTCTTATTCTACCAATAATCTTGGAATTATATTCATAAATTCCGTCGTATAAACCAGGTAAATAACATATATACACACAATTCCATGATTTGCATATGAAAATAATTATTTCCAACTTCCACTTGATATAATCAAATATGTATCTTTCCACCTTGGAATTAAAATTCCGTAAAACTTCAACATGCACTCAGAATTCGAACAATTATGTTTCTAATGAAAACTCCACATGAATTTTGAAAATTCAAACGCTATTATAATTCAACTTTTATTAATGAGAAGCGCATAGAAAGATTCAAAAAGCTTGAACCAATTAAAATTCTAACAACATAGAGAACATATCAAATCATTCAGAGCTTTCATGTTCACAATTATTCATTACGAAAACACGCCCATTAGGAACATTCTCTCCATTGCTACTGGTTCCAACTTGTGGTCCACTAAATTGAGATGGCTTGAATGAGTTCTTACTCTCATGAACTTTCCCTGCCTTGACATCAGATTCCTTCTTGAAGCACTCATATTCACGGTGTCCTAGCTTTTGACAATAATGACAAGTCACTGGGCTACCTTCACAATCTTTCCTAGGGTGGTTCTTCTCACACCTTCTACAAAAATACAATCTCTTGGGTTTCTCACTGTTTTCTTGATCCCCATTTCCTCGAACATTGGTTTCTTGTCCATCATTTCCCTTCCCAAAGTTCCCTTTATTCTCCTTTCTTCCATTAAAACCTCCATTCCCCTAAGAATTCCCATTTGGCTTGAGTTTCTTTTCACCTCTGTGAACAGACTCAGATTTCTTTTTTTCCTCTCCCTCAGAACTCTCAATTTCCCTTCCCTTAATCCCATACAAATGGGCAGCATGACCATAAACTTCATCCAAAGTTTCAAAAGTCACTCCTCCTAGCTTCCCTTGAAAGGTTAAGGTTAGGCCTTGCTTGGACCTCTGGGCTTTGATAGTTTCAGTTGGGACAACTTCAGGTGCAAACCTCATTAGCTCAATGAATTTATTATAATACTCACTGATAGACATACTTCCCATACTGAGATTGGTAAACTCCATACACTTTTTCTTTCTTAGGTAGGCTAGGTAAAACTTCTCTCTCAAGGCTTCTTTGAACTCATCTAACCCAAAATTAGGTCTCTTCAACAACTCATCCTTCCTTTGGGTCTACCACAAGTCAGCTTCCTCCCTTAGATAATAAGCACCATTATTCACCCTCAACTCACTTGGGCAATTGATGGCGTTAAACATCTTGTCAAACTCCCAAATCTAGTTTTCAAGACGGGATGGGTCTTCCTTTCCCAAGTACACAGGTGGTTTAATTGCGGCTATCCTTTTACAGGTTTCATTGTAAGAATCCAAGTCAGAATGACGGTTTCCTTGGTTCACCACTTGCGTGATGTTTTCAGCTATGTTGGTTAACTTCCTAAGGACCTTGCATACTTTGGAACCAGATCACTTATTTCCCATTCTTGAAGACATAATTCCTGGTTATTCATACCATACTTGAAAATTAAAAGGAACACACCATGGAAACACTTAATTCATTCCAAAACATAGAATTTTTTTTTGAAATAATAATAACTTCACTTAAGACATTATTGAAAGCATATAAACTACTTCAACCACTTAATCAGAATTCTCAGAATCAAAATATTCATTGGAAGGATCATAATCTGGATCATCATAGGTTGCCTTACCATCCACTTAATTAGCTTAATAACTGGGCCAAGTGTAGTAGGATTTTTAGTTGGGTAACTAAATTGTAATCACTGTAATTTGGAGTATGGCTTGAGTTTTGAATTGGGCTATAGTATGGGCTAACAAATCCACAAATTGGCTTAAAAGAAATAACGTTGGACTTTTGGAGAAGGTGGCTGATACTTTAGGCTTGGTAATCTTTTATATGAATATGAAGTATCATGAACTTTGGGCCTTTTGCAATGTGAAAATTGGTTGTTGGGCTTGGATGCCTATATGAGGTAGGAGTCTCATAACTTGGAGTAGGAGAAGGAGAAGGATAGTTCTTATGTCTTTCAAAAGGTGGTATGGATTCATCAATGGAAGAAACAAACTCCTTGTGAAGTCTCGGATAAACAAAAGAGTAGTTAGGAGTTCAAGTAATGAAGTTGGTAAGGTTATTTCAAGGTTTGGTTCTCCCCAACTTTGGTGGTTCCACAATTCTCCTCCTAGGTTCATAGTCAACTTTAATGTAGTACAAATCACTTTTGAATCGAGTCAAGGTTGCTAGCCACTTTCCCTCATGATGGTGCTTCTCATTCTAAAAAAAACAAAAAGATTCATACTTTTTAACTTTAGGCTAGGTAAATGGGCTAGAGATAATAGAATTAGCCATGGTGGTTGAGTGAACACTTCAAGGTCAAGTTTCTCATAAAGAGACTGAACAAAGGTAGTTATTCTAGTCACAAAATCATTAATACATACTAATCCCTTCACCTTTCAAGTAATAAATATTAAAAAAAAATTCTTTCTGATTTAATCCAACATCTATATAAATAAATCACTTCAATAAACACATGAATACTATTTGACATGAGCAACTCAAATCAAAACTTAATGAATTCCATTTTCATGATGCAATACGTATCAATCAACAAGAATAACTTAAGATGACTCAACTATGAGCATCATGACACCAAAATTTCAAATCTCCCATCACCTTTAAAATAATATTAACCAAAGAATTTATTCCTCATATCATCAATCATTTTTATCTTCTTGATTACACTTATAAATCAATCAATTCAATGTCATTTCACATAAGCAACTCAACTCATAAATTCCAATTGCATAAAGCAATACATAACTCAATAATAAACCACGTATAACTCTAGATCACCCAACTATGGGCAATAGCTCAAAAATTTCGGTCCTTGACCATAGACAAAGGTGTTATAACACCAACTTTAATGCACAAGCAATCACACAAACTCAAGCTTTCCAATAGTTTCAATTCTTTTTATTTTGAAAATAATAATAATGTACTTGAATCATGATATTGGACGGTCAAGCACGCGTCTCCCAGGTAAGTTACCTACAGCGTCAAGGCGAGCCTTACCTAGACAGAGAGTCGTACACAAGAATCCTTTTCTCAATCATCTTTCTAAATAAGAAAATAGTTTTTATTTAAAAATAATGCTTTTAACCTTCACACACAAATGCGAAACTCTATCCTATATGCCCTCTTAATGTCTACCCACCGTTTTATTTTTCCCAATTTTAATTTTTTTTAAGACCCGGTAAACTGATACCAATTTGTAACACCCCCAAATCTCCCTCTACGGAAATACTAGTATAATACATATAATTATACCGTAGAGATAGACTTAGGCGTATTACTACCGCGTGATTACGCAAGGCTACTCAAACTACTAATCAAAACCAATACTTTGCAGCGGAATTTCAAACTCTTTCTTTATTAACAATAACTATAAATAGAAACCATCGTCATGAGTACTCATAATTGAACCAAGACCAACAATCCTAATCTAGGTGCAGAACATTCCCGGGACTCCCACATGCTCAATTCTTGACTCCACCTGAAAATAGTCAACACTACTTACCATTAAGGTAAATAGGGCGAACCAAAAAAACAATAGAAAATACAGATTAGCAAAATATGCTAAGTACGATAAGTGCAAGATAAGTAAATTCAATTTATTTGCAAACATGCTTTTAAAACCAATGCCAATAATTAATTCAATGACCTCCAAAACTCACGATTTCAAATCAATTCTCAATAATTCAATAATTCGATGAAACGATTTACAAAACCAATTCCTCTTCCGAAAACTAATTCTCAAATATCTTCAAAATAATTCCAATAACTCAATAATAATGATTAAGAAAATCAATTATTTTCAAAAACTCAACCTCCTCTCTAAGTGTGCACACCCCCCAAGCTAGTCTCCTACTATTTTAAGGCTATTCTTGGAGAAAGACTAGGTCATACAAAGTCCATAGTATTCAATGAATCCGCATAGTGGGATTAATATAATAATCATGCTTGTAAAGATTTTAAAAATAATTCAATAATTCTCATGAAACTCCTCTTTGAATAAAATCAACCTTTATAATAGAATAACTCAAAAACTCCTTTTGTATTTAAATCAATACGATATTAAAATCAAACCCTTTTAAAAACTCTTTAAAACAATCCAACATACTTTTTAAAACCAAGTTCCTTTAAACATAATAAATAATTTCAAACCATTCAAAACATGATATTAAAATCAAACCTTAAAAAATACATTCAAAAATACATTTATTATAACAAATATTAAAATCAATTCCTCCAACCATGCTTTATTTCATAAATCACAGTTTAAATCAATTTAATTCAAGCACCAATAAAATCATATAAAACATGCTATTCAAACCAATCACTTTCGAAGGTATCTAGCCACCTAAACGTACCTTGATTCCGAATCTCAATCAACACTTCACAGTTTCAAAGTTTAATCACGAATACAACTTGCAATTAACATAACCATAAGGTTATCACTAGGGGTGTTAAAAAAAATCGACCCGGTTGTCGCGTCCCGATGACCCGATGACCCGCAAAAAACCCGATGGGATATTGACAAATTTTTCTGTTTTATTCGAGTCGGGTACCCGTCCCGCTAAAATAGCAGTTTCGTGGGCCGAGACATGGGACAGATCTTGCTATTCTCGGGTACGCGGATACCCGTTAAAAAAAATAAATTCAAAAAAACCCTCAAAAAAATTACGGATACCCAGTTACCCACCCAGCCACCCTATCTTCTTCTTTTTCTTTTTCAGCCTCATCCTCCTCTTTCTCTCTTCTCTTCCCTATGCTATTCTCTTTCTCTCTCCTTCTCATGCTCTACTCTCCTTCTTTCTTTCTCTATTCTTTCTTTCTACTTTTCTCCTCTCCTCCCTTCTTTCTCTTTCCTCTGTTCTTTCTCACGCCTCGCTCTTTCTCCTCTTTTATTCTCTTTCTTTTGGTTTTCATGGTCAAAACGAAGGTTTTCGTCACAAAATTCGCGAAATTTGTCCAAAACGAAGGTTTTAATGGTTAAATTCGACCATGAAAACTCTAGATCTAGAGTTTTCATGGTCGAATTTGACCGTTTTAAACCAAATTCGAGGTGAAATTGAAGGCCATTTTTGGTTTAAAATGTATGCTTTCTTGTTGTTAATTTTCTTTCTTTTCTTTTTTGAATTTTTAATAAATCCATTTATATGATATGATTTCTCGTAATTATCGTGCTTGTTTCGGTAAATTTCATTATTTTTGGTTAAATTTTGGTGGTGGTGGTTTCTTTTTGGTGTGGGTTGGGTTTGGTTGGGTTGGTTTCGATTATGGGTTGTGGCCGAATTGGTTGAAGAAAAGGAAACCCCAACGATCAAAGGCTATTGGCGGTGTTGGGTTGTCGATTCGTTGTGGGTTTTGGGTGTCGTTGGTGGATCTGGGTTGGTGGGAGGTTTTGGTGGTGGTGGGTGGTGAATTGCGGTGGTGGTGGGATGATTTTTTATGGTGGCTTAGGAGGAGTGGAGGTAAGTTTTGTGTTTCTCGATTCACTCCTTTCTTCGATAAATAAAATTCGAATCCGAATTATCCGGGACGGGACACGGGCCGACTTATCAACTACCCGAAGATCCGGGTACTCGGATTTTCAGGTACCCGAATATCCGGGTACCCGGATTCGAACACCCCTAGTTATCAGAACATCTTTAGACATAAACCCAAAATCTAATGTGCATGGACTATAAAACTCTTTTTAAAATATAATACTTTAATATAAAATTATAGCTTTGAAATAGGTATTTATATTTTAGAAAACTAACCATGAACAAAATAAAGGAATAGGATTAAAGAGACTTGGATTTGCGTTGGAAAGAATAGGCAAAAGTTGCAGAGGCCATAACTCCTTCAATATAACTCCGAATTGGATGTCTTGAGCCTAAGCTCTAGGATTTTTCGAGAGGAACAATTTTCTATGAAATAGAAAAACCCCAAAACTTACCAAAAGTGCCTGAAAATTGGCTCTAAAGATATAAGGGCTGATTTTCTT